GGGCTGCGGTCGGGAGCGCCGGGGTGAGAAGCCGAGGCGCTATCCGTGGGATCTATTGTCTCCCGGCACCCCGGGAGGAAAAAACAGGGGCACCGGGTGCTCATCACCCTCTCCTTTGCTCTCTCGGCTTAACGTGGCCCGGGGAGCTCGTCCCTGCCCGGTGCCACACACGCTGGCAGCCGCCTGGCAGCCGCCGGGAGCCGCAGCCCATGTGTTAGGACTTCAGGTGCTTCTTGGCCCAAAGCTAGACTGCGACCTCCTACCGTAGCGCTTGGCGTCACCTGCTCTCCCGGCCCTGCCCCGGGGCCGAGGGATTGCGTCCCGAAGCAGGCTTGGGAACCGGCTGCCTCTCAAGTTGGTGTTATTTATGTTTGTCTTTTGTGAGGGCAGGTTTTTTTTTTCAATCCCCGGCGGCCCCTTCGCCCCCGCCTCCGCCCCCTCGGGCTCGAACTGGCGGGGGAGGGACCGGGGTGTGCGACTAGGGGAGAGGGGAGGGTGTGGATGGGTAAAAGGACATTGTCAACGCTTTACAAAAAAAGAAAAAAGAAATAAAGGAAAAGAAAACCCCCAAAACAAAACAACAACCCCCCAAACCACAGGCACCACACTCAGAAAGCCTTTTTTGTTTGCCTGCATGGGCCATGCATGCATGCTGGGCCAGGAGGCGAGTTTGGAGCTGATTTGAGTGAAAGTGTGGGCTTCCTCAGCTGATGGGGTGTGAGGGTGATGGGGTTCGGTCTAATATTAAACCAAACCAAGCCAAACCCAAATGAAACATGTTTAGAACTGCAGTGACTGCCTGAAGTGTGGGACTGCTGCATATTGATGGAAAATCCAGCTGTGGGCTGGAGCACAGCAAGCATGCATGGCCTTTGCATTTCGTTTTGTTCACTCTCCACCCCTAGCTTGTAGTAAGTTAGGGGCCAGAAGGAATAGACAAACCAGGGCTGTGGAAGGAAGTGTCATGGTATACTTGATTTCTGATTGTTGCGTTCTCATGCATCTATTCCCACGAGACTACATCCCACTCCCTAATTAATATTAGCCTCTTGCCTAGGAAACTTCCAAACAATGCTTAGAACAACTTGTAGTGGAACTTCATGGACATTCCAGAACTTACTTCTGCCTGTTTTGTCCTGGAATTGCACTGAAATTTTTACTTTGAGCATGCTGTGGTTGAGAATATTGGATCAGAGCCCCCAAATAAGCCTCTTTGGCATATTTTAGAGTTTGGAAACATAGACTCCAAACTTTTCCCTGTCCTGCACGATTATGGAAAATTCCCAAATTAAGTGGCCACTTTGAGGACTTTTTGAGGAGTGTATGAGTTGTCCATTTCTTTCATAGTCATTCACAGAAATACCCAAACTTAGGCTAAAGCATTACTGCCAAGTGTGGGGGAGGGGTGGGGTGCAGGTGGGAAGGGGTAGGGAGGAGGAGGAGGAGGAGGAGGAGGAGGAGGAGGAGGAGGTGGTGGCATTTTTAAGGATCTCCAAGTTATGTTTGAAACACTTTTGTTACCAAAGACCAATCAGAATAACTTTTTAGTTTCTTAACCTTAATGTCCCATTTCGAAGTAATGTATTTACTATGTGGCAAAACCACTTGGAACATAAAGTGTGTGTTAAATGTTGATTAGCTGACTAAATAGGAATTCAGAGAAACACATGAATTCAGAAACTCGTTCTTTTCTATTACAGACGAACCTCTAGCCTTGCTTTGAAAAAGCCATTTTGTGTAACTTTTGACTGTTGAATAAATTGCTAACACACCCGTTGGGATCATCACTGGAAAAGTATGCCACTCGAGAGGTCCTTTGCTTGACCCGGTACTGGGGGTTAGGAAGAGAGGTGTTTTTCTTTTTGTTGTTTTTCCCCTTATCATTATGAGCATTGGCTCTTCACCCTTGAAGTGAAAATGTTGAAAGCCGAGGCTTCAGGTGAACGCACCACGCTCAGAAGCGCCTCTCCTCACAGGAATGCATACAGAACAGAGTTCCAGGCACTGAAAAGTACTTTTGACAAACCCAAGTCAGATGGGGAACAGAAAACAAAAGATGGCGAGGGCCCCCAGCAGAACAGGGGGAGGAAATATGGCTCCAATGTCAACAGAATTAAAAACCTATTTATGCAGATGGGTATGGAACCCAATGAGAATGCTGCTGTCGTTGCCAAAACGAGGGGAAAAGGTAGACCTTCATCCCCTCAGAGAAGAATGAAGCCCAAAGAATTTGTGGAGAAAACGGATGGCTCAGTGGTTAAGTTGGAGTCCTCTGTTTCTGAACGAATTAGTAGGTTTGACACAATGCACGATGGCCCTTCATATGCTAAGTTCACAGAGACTCGAAAGATGTTTGAGAGAAGTGTGCCTGAGTCAGGGTACAATCATCGCTATTCCCCAAAGACAGAGAAAGCCGGAGGGACTGAAGCACAGGATGACTGGGGTGGCTCCAAGTCCAACAGAGGCAGCAGTGATTCCTTGGACAGCCTGAGCCCCCGGACTGAAGCTGTCTCCCCAACAGTGAGTCAACTGAGTGCAGTATTTGAGAGCACCGAGTCTCCGGGTGCCATCATTTCTGAGAAGGCTGACAGCAGTGACTTCTCAGTGACCGGGCACTACCCTCTGAATTTACCATCGGTTACCGTTACCAACCTTGATACCTTTGGCCACCTCAAGGATTCGAATGCAAGGTCTTCAAACAAACAAGCTGTTGATGCAGAGGATGCCCAGCAGAGCAGCGCAGCTCCACAAGTGGCTCAGAAAGGTGCCTCTCTAGCTTCGTTGCCTAGTGAAGAGCTCCAGCCGAGCAAGGAAGCCGAGGACTTCCCATCTCACCAAGAGACTCTGGGCAGCACTGACAAAGATATTCCTGAAGAACCCTCTGCTGAAAACCAGGCAATGCCAAAGTCTGATATACTCTCACCACAGAAAGAAGCTTTAGAAGACGCTGAAGCTAATGTGGTCGGCAGTGAGACAGCAGGGCAGCAGAAGAAAGACCTTACAGGTGGTGATGTAACCTCTCCTGATGCTTCTGCATCCAGCTGTGGCAGAGAAGTACCCGAAGACTCAAATAGTTACGAGGGTTCCCATGTGTACATGCACAGTGACTATAACGTGTACAGGGTGAGATCCAGGTATAACTCCGACTGGGGGGAGACAGGCACTGAGCAGGACGAAGAGGACGACAGTGACGAGAACAATTACTATCAGCCCGATATGGAGTACTCCGAGATAGTTGGGTTGCCAGAGGAAGAAGAAATCCCAGCAAACAGGAAAATTAAGTTTAGTTGTGCTCCGATTAAGGTAAGTATGCTTTTTCAGATTGTTCCCTAAGTTTCCTTTCAGCCTTGGGGCCTATGCAGGATAGATCTGACAACTGCTTGATTTTGTAAGAAATTCGAGGTTGTGGCATGCACCTGCTGTGGGCTGATCTCAGAAGGGTGGCACTGGGGAGGTGGGAGAGGTTACCGTGCTGATCGGTGGGCATAAACAACCAGGGAGAAATAAGCGAGTTGAAGAAGTTTGTGAGATACATTTCAGTGGAGTGGTCCGAGCAGCCGGAACAGTGAAAAGCAGGAGGCTTTGAAATACAACGACTTCTACAAGGGGTTCTTAAGATTACCGATCAATAATCACATCTGACTCTACGTTCTAAGATACAGGGTATAAGAGGTACGACGGGGGATTTATGCCAGCCTCGAAATCATTTTCTTTATTTGCTTTAATGTGTCGGAGTTATTCCTTGCTTCAGGGTAAGTGGATCATGTTGCTGAACTATTTTTTTTTTCTTTTTGCATTGCTACTTGTTTGTGAACATTTGCTTTATGGAACTGTATTAGCTGACAAATACTTTGCAAAGCCGTGACTGTACACAACTTCGATTTCAGAAATTGTTATGTAGCTTTACAGTGAAGTTTTGTGAAAGGAAGCATAGTTGACTTGCCATTCATGGGTTTATTTTTACCCCTTAAAAACTGGATAAATGCCAATTGAATTCAGATGTTTTATTCTAATGATTTCTCTTAGCTAGCATTTGGTGTAGAAGAAGAGCACAAAGTGTCTCAGGAGCGGGCGCTGGGATGTAATAAGTGGCAGTGGCCGTAAGGGCAGGAGGCTGTGGGTGGAACATCAGAATCCCCTGGAGTGCTTCCCCCCTCCCCCCTGGAGTGCTTTCCCCCTCCCCCCTGGAGTGCTTTCCCCCCTCCCCCCTGG